ATGGTCTTTAGACAATTGCCCCCAACATAATTATACACATTGTGTAGAGGTGCTATTGTTAGAGAACGATGAACCAAATACAAAAAGAAATAGTAAAGAGAATCCAAAAATATCCTTACAACCAAAATTGGACCTCAGACATGTATGTGAAGCGTACAGCGATCAAGGATATTAACAAATAGGAGTCGAGCCAAATTCTATATAACCATCCCCCCTAACCCCCCCCCCCCCCCTGCATGCAACAAACGAACAAATTTTGTTAGATCAATTCATGATGAAACGAACTTAACATTTTGTGAAATAATATACTCTATTCTTTATGATGTTAAAAGGAAATGCATAATTCTGAATTTAATCTGACAAATGAGTATTCATAGATGATTTCTCTTGTTTCTTATCTTCCTTATTTTCCTTGCTTGGGCACCCTCATAAGAAATGATGGGTTTATTTATAGTTTTCTAAGAGTTGAATGACAAATAAATAGGAGGAAGATTAACAGTAAGTTGGGAGCCATTTGAATGAATGGTCGATGTTGATTCCCTTGATCGCGGATGGACATTTGAATGTCTTAATGATTTCATAATTCAATGATTTAGTGCTCGTTGGATTCGTCTCGTCAAGCCGCTCGATTCAACTATAAGCATATTACATTGGAGTTCATTTGATAATTTGAATTATGATTTGAACTTTTCAAATGCGCTCGGGTCCTTGACTTGGTCTCATTTTGGCTTGGATTGAGTCGAATTTGGTGTCGTTGGGTTCGTATTTCTAAGACGTTCTGTTCGACTATAAGTTTGTTGAAATCTGAGTTTGAATGACCCGGGGTTTAATTTCGAAAGTTTTCAACTTGATTTTGCTTCAACTATCATTCCTGGTCAGGATAATTTTTTGATGACATATCAATTTTGATTATGTTCTGCATCAAAATATTTATCATCAATAAATGATGTTCACTTAAAAATATTGTTTGACTTTGTATTTGTTTGAAGATCAACAAGTCTTTCATATTTATAAAAAGAAGTTTGAAATTCATATAAAATGTCTTTGTCATGGGAGAAAAAAGATCACCCACCCTCAAAATATTCAATTTTAACTTCAAAAGTAATTGAGCTTAAGAAAATATAATTTTTAAATATTTGCATAATTTTATACTTAAATTTTAAAACTATAATTTACTTGTAGTTTATTTTATATTAATAATTTTCAAATGTGCCAATTGATGAGTCAATTTCAAGCGAGAACCAGCTTATAAATGGCTGTGGAACCTTTAATCATATTAAATTTCATGATAGTTTAATAAAACAAAGTCAAATTAAAGTTAGGTCTAAGATAAATTATTTTATACGCATTATTTATATTTATTCTCTCGTCAGCATGTACTATAACTATCAGTCTATCAGCACTAAGCATGATTGGAGCATTCATTGTATTCACATGTAGCCATTTTATGCATATATAGAAAAATCTATCGATAGAGATTTATTAGTTAAGAAAGGAGACGGCTAATTATGCTTAGTTAATTATCTGACTCTAATTATATATTATAACAGTTGATTCTTATTATACAGTTATTTGAGCCCTAAAAATTGATAGAAAAGTCCTTTCAATATTATGATTTATAGATTATATTTTAAAAAAACAGTAGGAAAACAAATTGATAATTGGATGGAGAAAATCGGTGAATGTCGAACTTAGATTGACATTGAGTTGCCAGGGTGAGGCCGTCCATGGAGGACAACGAAATCCAAAACAAGAAGCAGTCAAAAACACCAAAATTAGCCACCCAGGTTGCCAACCAACCCTGGCCATCCAAGGCACATGCAGTAGAACTGTTTCCTCATCGTCCATTCCGAATACAACCCAACAACGCAACCAAAGCAACGAAGAATGAAATAAAACCAAACCAAAAGAAGAAAATAATTTATTCTTGGATTTCTATTTACGTTGAGAAACAAACTTATTGAGCGAGATCGTTTCGAGGTTGGTATCAATAAAATCCTACTCACTAGTAACTGGCATATCATCATGCAACCAATCACATAGCCACCGAACATAATCTCTAGCAAGATGGGCAAACAAATTAGTATTTGAAATTATAGAAATAAGCACATCCACTAGAGGCACCTCAAAACATGCCTCCCCAACAATAGTCAAAGATTATTCACCACTATCAACTAACTATGTAGACTTGCCAACAGAATCTGCACCATCCGCATAACTAGGACTATCACTAAGATTCACACAACAATTAATGTCGGACACAGCTATAATGGAAAGAGCCACATTAGGGGAAACAACACCATCCACGCCATCATAAACCACCAATTCACCATCAACAACAGGAGAAATACTACAACAAAAAGCAGCAGCAAGGGCATGGGTAGCAGGGGAGAGAATAGGAGAAGACTGAACCAACCCGACATTAATAGGGGAATCCAGCATAACAACCTAATCAACCAAAACAACCGGAGACCCTCCCATATAAGACAAAATAGGAGAAGCAACAACATGAGAAATAGGATAATTAGAAGGCGCGGGCAAGACAATGTCCAAATTTACAGGTAAACCATACAGAACAGAACCATCACAATGCCATCAGGTGCCACAACCACAAGGACAGACAGAACCATCACCGACAATGCCATCAGGTGCCACAACCACAAGGACAGACAGAATCACCACAGAGCCAGGTAGCATAGGAGTAACATGGACCCCCCCCCAAACAGAATTAGTGCCCACAATACTCGGGGAAATCTTCTAGAACCACAAATTGAACATAACCAATGTTATTTGGGCCAATCCAAATTTTATCATGATAATGTTTGGTCACATCCAGTTCAACCAAAATGCGAGCAACAGACAAACGGGAACCAGAGGAGGTCCCATTATCAATTTTTAAGGATATACCAAAAACAGAGCATAAGCCATGAAGAATACGTTGGGCAAACAAATGAGGCCGAAGATCAGGAAACGATATCCAAATTGGGATAACATGCGATTCATCCTCAATGTCCAAAGTATGAGTCCATTTTATTAATTTCATATAGCAATTACTTACAAAATAAGACATATGAGCAAAAACCCTACATTAATTCAAATCATTAAAGAGTTTAATCAACACATTCTGTTGGTTAAGAATGGTGACAGAACAATCGCCATTTAGCTTGAAATTGAAAAAGAAATTCCTAATAACATCAAGAGATGGCCTTCAGCCAGAAAATTTTTCAACTAGAGCAAATTCAAAAGGAGCGGCAAGAGACTGGATTTCTGCCTCCAAAATCCACATAGCAGGCATACCCCTATGAGAAGACACCTTAAGTTCGGGAAAAGCAGCGGAAGAAGGCGACATACCAGAAAGAACATCTTTAAAAGAAAGAGAGGAGGATCCATTCAAAAAATTAGGATCCCTAAAACGGGGAGGCGCCATAAAACCATAAGATTGCAAATGATAGCGAAAACGACAAGAAAACAAGAAGAATAAACTTCACTGAGACACACGAGGAACAGCACCCAGCGCGAGAGGCAGAGAAGAGGCCACAAGGGGCGGCTAGGGCGAAGCCCTAGCACCCTCAGAGAGCATGAGAGAACCATCGGGGGATGAACTCTTTTGAATAAATTTTAATTTTTATTGAAGTTAAAGAAATGTTTTTATGTGTATAAAATGTAAAATATTTAATTTTAATAGTGAGAATTTAAGTAATTAAATGGTTGTTTGATTTGCATAATAAAATAAAATGTAATATAAAAAAATGTAATGTGTTTGATTTTTTTTTAATTGTTTGGACTAATGTAAAATAAATTCAGGTGATTATTTTTTATATTATTTTTTATTGGCTTAAAGTAAAATGAATATAGAATAAAACCTAACGATGGTGGTGGCCATTGGCCTTTAGTGATGGCTAGTGGTTGCGAGGGTTATGGCGGCCTGTGGCCGAGCGACGACAGTGGGTAATGACAACGACGTAAATGATAATGATAGATATTTTATAGTGTAATTAGAAATCGATAATATATATATATATATATATATA